GAGATTTTCTGAGTCCTTCTCTCATTATTTAAATATTATTAATAGTTACGTCTACAGTTTATATGACAAGAAGCAAGCAATACTAGCAAAACTGAAGTTTGTTTTCTTCAGTGTCTAATTCAAAAGACATAGTCCAATATGACTCTCCTATTAGAGCCAAGAATAACACAGAGGGCCAGTAGTTCTTCTTAACCTTAATCACATGGGAACAGTGACATGTTGGAATTGTGGCCTGGGAAACAGGGAAAGACAAATGGCCTTTTTAGCAAGGAGGAAAGTAAGGAGATAAAGAAGGGATTTCCTAGTTACTCCCTGAGGCTGGCTGTATGGACTGATAGTTCTATATGATCTTTAAATTAAGGCCTTGTATCACCTTCTGAACTTCTGTTATCAGTTAAAAAGGAGTTGAGTTCTTTTTTTTAATCCTTAACTTTACCTGTTTTTCTTTCTATTGATGCAGAACAAATAACAGATTTACATAAACTATAAATATTTATTTTGATTTATATTATTTTCCTGTCTTCCCTTTCCTTCCCATCCATATTTATGATCATGTCTCAACAGCAACACCAATCATCTGTAATGCTCATTTGGTCTTGCCAGTTGATTTGATCTCCTGTCCTCCTACTCACAATTAATGCTTGCTCAAATCAATAGTCCAACCTCAACTTTGAGTTCTAACATCTATTCCCTCTTTGAATTTTTAAAAATATTCTCATCTCTGACCCACTTCTTGATTGTGATGAACATATCATCGTGGATTAGCAGAAGCCAAATAGCATGCCCTAACAAAATCATCCTTACAATATTTTCTCAATAAATTAAGAGAAAAATTTCCATTTTCCATTGCTTCATGGAGATAAATATAGCAAAACAAAACAAAACACTCGACAAGTAGTTTTTCTCCCAACAGGCAGGCAAAAACATCTTTGCAAAGATTGTGATAATGAAAGAAATCTAACATGGTTGGCTCCGTCTTGCTTTTAGGCTCATAGGCTGGCTGTCTTCACTCATTCTTGGGCATTGACCAAGCTAACCATGGGTGAAATTTAGTTTATAGTTTAACCTTGAAACAAGAATCATAAAAGTCACTCCCTAAACCTCATCCCCTCCTTGTTCAGGGATTGAAACCACCCTTGTAATGCTAATGAAAGGAAACAAAACTGAAATTATGAAAGAGGTCTGAATTCTGCTAAAATGCAGCTGTAGTTTCTGTAATCCCTTACTGCTCAAAAGTTATGTGGCCAAAGTTTACAAGATTTGTGACTCCCTTATATATAGATAATATAGATAACAGTACTGTTGTAGAACCTCAGATTGGTGTTTTGAGATGATTTTCAGACTGGCCTCACCTGGACTCATCACTCAACAGTCCTGTGACCTCCCATCCAGAGGTAGACTCCGTGCACAGTTTTCCACACTTTTATAATTGCATCTCCCTCAACCAATCAGCAGCATCCACTCCCTAGTCCCATGCCCACCAAACTTTCCTTGAAAAACCCTGACCTCCAAGACTTCAGGGAAACTCATTGAGTAATAACTCCAGTTCTCCCACATGGTGAATCTCATGTTACTGAAACTCTTCTTTACTGCAATACCAAGGTCTCAGTGAACTGGTTTTTGCAGTGGACAGGAAGAAATCACTGGGTGATTACACAAGCACACTGAAGAATTTTAAACTGAGATGAGGTCTGTGGCATCAGAGAGAAAGAAAAGTCATAGAGCATTTTTAGTATGAATGGTGATTCCTGGTCAAGAGAAGAGAAGAAGAAATATGTGACCTCACAGTTCCTCATAGTGAAAGAAAATCTTAAATGAGTGACAGTTTGTTATTAGGGGTGGTCGAAATAAAATTAATCATGATTTCCCTTAGAATGAAAGTAGAAGGAAGTGAAGCTTGTTTGAAAAGATAAAGACTACACTTAATATCAATTTATTTAAAGTCAGTTTTCTTGGATAATTGTTTGGACTTGAGAAAAATCTACAGAGAATTAAGATTAGTAAATACCTTTAGATCTACATTCCTGCAAATTTTACTGTTAGACCTGCAATGCTGCATTAATAGAAAACTTTAAAAATTCACATGTAATTCTCCAGCTTAATAACTAATAAGGATTTTTGCATGAATTATTTTAAAAGAAACTAATATCTGCCCTTATTAATTTTCTTGGGATTTGTTTTGTTCTTTATAATCTGGTCTTCTGGATTTCATATTTATTCTACTTTACAGTTTGATTTATAATCACTAGTGAAATCCCCAGCTTTGAAACTCCCGTTACTAAGAGTAATAGTTATCTACTAGATTAATAGTGATCCTTCATTCTGGAACTACGTTTCTAAACGTTGTACTATATATTTTGTTTAACATTAAGTAATAAAATATGAGTGAATCAGATCAATGACTTAAGTGCATTAACATGGGAAGATTAAGGTAGGTGTACTTGAAGTATTCTTAAAACACGACATTATGCATATCTACAAGGTACTTTGATTAAATAATATTTTCTCCTTTTTAGCTCTTTGACAGTTAAGAGCCAATTATTCTGAACACCATTCAACTCAGTCAGTTTTTTTTTTTAATGAAAATGTATGGCAAAATAGAGTCACCATCTGGCCTATGTACCCTGAGATCCAAGAACGTATTTTCAGTCTGCAGTATCCCTAACTATCATTACTGTCATTCGATTCAATTCTTTCTTCCATAATTTGGCATACAAAAAGAAAAACATAGTATCCTAATTTAAAATCTTTCAGGTAAATGGAACGTTATATTTTATACCCCTTCCACACAAAGCAGATAATATAGCATTTGCCATTGTTAATTTAGTTCTCAATGTGGTATTGAAATTAAGAACTAAGACTTCTGCATCCACCTTATCTATCAGGACCAAGAACAAAGGCAGCCTACATTCACATCATTTTACTATTTGTTCTAGGATGTTCTTGTTCATGAACTTAACGGTGTAAATCAGAACAAAAAACTTTTTTTTTTTCAGAAAATAGCTGAAAATTAGTTTCTAGAAACATTAAACTCCTAAAACTGGGTAAATTGCTCAACTACCAAACAACTCACTTCAAGATTCCTGCCTTTCTGTGTCTACCAATCCTAAACTATTACATCTTGAAGTGCACCTAACCAAACCAGATCCTTACATTGAAAGCTCAGTCTTATCTACTCAAACCCAGATTTCCAACCCTATTCATATCACCCCCTAAACTTCTCCTTCTGGACACTCGGACTCATAAAATGTTGTCTTTTCTGACTATTATAGGTAATAAACTCAGCTTTGCTTAACAGGTTACGCTGTGAGCCTTCTGAGAAGTTGAAAACTGACAAAATTCATCTTCCATGTGTATCAGTATAAAATCCCCATATTAGTAGTTGGTCTTGCTAACGGCTAATGTAAGTATGCATTTACTTTTGATGTGATAACCTACTTTCAGTGTTTCAAAATTAAATCAATCAATAAACATATCATCTATCTCTACATAGGGAAAGAGTTTTCAAAAAGTAGAAAAAACCTTGGCAAATCAGTTCT